GGCTGAATTGGTGAAGGTGCGTGGACGCCCCTTACGTCAGGAAGGCCGTGTTAGCCCCCTCGCACCCGACACTGACTCCGTCTGGGTGATGTAGTCGTTCATCCACCGAGGAACTAGAGATCTGTGTTTATATTATGGGATTTGTTTATATTACAACATTCTTCCTCGAGAGAACCGAAGCCAGCCGGCCAGTCTGTATCGATATTTCATATAGGATACAATTTATTGAAGTAATCGGAATCAATAAATGAGTTTTTCCCGAATTTGTACAGTATTTTCTTCAATTATCAAACAAAAAGCTAACATAAATAATATCTCCACATCAAAATCAAAATAATTGTGCAGCTCCATGTTTAACTTGAGATATGTCGAAAACTAATGACTTTGATCGCTATGAAGAAAGAGTGTGATATTTACGTGTAAAGAGTATTGGAGAATCGGAAAAATTATGATGAAATGGAAATATCGCCAAAGGCGTAAAATTTGGTAAATATCAACCAGTCCCTTGCCACTGTCGTACAACTCTGGTGATGGCCATCAGAAATATTAATTCAAAATAATTCACTAGGGTGTATAGTTCTTATACACTTCCTACCGAATATGAGACATATTTTATTGAATTGGGTTAAATCTTCTTATTTTGAGCTTAGGTTTCCACAGTTGAAATATTTCCAATTGTTTGTTATACACCTTGTGAAGATCGATTAACTCAATAATCAATGCTCAACAATAATCATCATCCCGTTATTTTGAATTTTTCTTGTTTTCAAGTCATTCGGGAATATTGCCAAATTGTTTTCATAAGAGGTTTGCGGATTGTTTTTGGATTAGTGGATTACCGGAACGAAAGTCTACCCAATATCTCGTTACAGAACTTATTTATCGATGCAATAAGATCTGTACAAAATGTGTGTGTATGTGATTTGGTACTCGTTTTTTTTGTTTTCCAATGGGAGGTGATGGTGTTTTCAACGGAATGCTACTCGTATTGATAGTCGCTAAAGGCTAACACCTGTTGACGACAAAATCAAGACCATTATTCTCATGTACACTTATTTCTTTGTAATACCTAATGTTTTGCTCGGTTTTTCTTGCTACTTATCATTGTGTATCGATTTGAAGGAAAGTATCCAGAAATATTTTTCATTAGATAGTATAGGTTCATGGTTTCAAACCCTATTTGTAAAATTTCAGAAGATTCCATGGAGCGTTTCAATAAACAGGTAACGGTGAGCTGAACAAAAAATAGTATTTCTTTATTTTTATTTCAACTCACGATTTTCTACCTACCGGAGCCATTGAACGTTCCGAAATAATTTGAATTCACTATTTTTTCGAGGCTGAAAATGAAGAAACTTAAGCTAATCCTGTTAATTTGGAATGAGGTGATTTTTTATTCCCATTCAAATTGATATTTGTTCACCAAATGTATATTGAATGTATTCAAATATTATACAGGGTGAGTCATAACTATTGCGACATAGGTTAAGGGCGGATCGTTTGGGCCAAAATATGCAAATATGCCTTGATGAAATAATGCAGTGGAAATAGATACAGGGCGTTTCAATCGGAAAAGTATAGGCAATGAACTCTAACCAAAGTTCATTTTCTGTCGAGAAATGTCATGTATCAGCACAATTTTCTCACGTTCCAAAGCACACTCTCCATAAATGAACATATAATTTGAAATCCGTTTCCGAAAATTTGAACTGTTCAATTGCGTTTTTCCCGAAAACGGATGAAAATATCGTGTTTCAACAAGTGTATACCAGTATAACTGGAAATTATGTTTATGTCATATTTTCTGATCTAAATCACTAAAAAGTTTCTTGTGCGCCCCATGTAACAAACTGTAGAATAATACAAAAATGCCCTTATACCCTGTATAAATTCATGCCTGTGAAAATTGAAATTATTACCAAAAAACGAAAATTAAAATTCGACTTTGACGATCTGTACATTTTTCCACAGCAATATTTTAACAAGGCATATTTGTTCCTGTCGCCATATTTTGGTCCCTACAATCCGTCCTTAGCCTATGTCCCAATAGTTATGACTCACCCTATATATATTATTTTCGAGTTTGTTATAATTGTATAATTAGGTATTTTTGTTAACCATACTTCCTTCCTACCAGAACTTGTTTCTGACTGGAAGTCACTTTTACAATAAATAAATAATAAATACATAAATAAAGTTTAAGGAACAATAATAATTATGAAATTTGTTTTCTTGAATAAACTTCCCGATATGATTTCGACCACATTTTAGTACAATTAACAGGCACGGCATTGTTTGGTACAGATAGTACCCCAAAAAGTGGACTGTATATACTTTATATTTTTCAACACCTTATGAAGAAAAGACCAAACTACTTTTCCTTTTAACTATATTCCCAATAACAATAAAACCAAATACCAATACATAAGCGACGGTACACCAAACTCCGTCGTCTTACGTTTACTTCTACCCAACCACTCGCCCTTCAAGACTCTTGAGAAGTAAACTCTAAGGGTCCATCTGTCTCTAAGTGAAGAAAACAGTGGTGTCACATTTAACTTGATAAAATATAATGTCTCTGTGTCGTTCCTTACAGGCATTGTCCAACAGGATGTTTGTGAAGAACTAATCATATTGATGGTTATTCATACCGGTCCAAATTTGGTACGAATCGCACGACTAATGAGAGCTGAGATATAATATAGAAGGGGCCGTTTGAGATGAGACTCGCTGTAGATTCGTTAATGTTGAATATTTTCCCATGAAACTTGGTACAGATCTATTTCAGATGATGCCGATTCCAGTGGTGGGCGAGGATCTTGTCTAAAAATTCTCTAATATGGATTCTGGATTTTTCAGTCAGTGAAATGGTTGTGATCGCTCCATAGATAAATTTTATAAATTCTGGATACTCACCTATTGCTTTTTGTTTATCACATGTCAAAACTCATTAGTACATTATGTTTTCTCTCTATAGCGAATCCGCGATTCCAAAGCCTGCGTAGTTGTGATGGTAATTGCATTCGAGCATATTCAACTAGGCATTCATAATAAATTTGCATATATTCAGCGCAGAGAGTGCCGTATATTTCCACCTCTAATACCTACCTGTATAGTGGCCGTTTATTATTACCTCAAGCCATTTGCGCTGGGAACAAAAATATGGCGGGAATTAAGCCGATTCCACGGTTGTGTTTGTACTCCACTTCTGCGTAATTTTTTTCAATGCTCAGACCGCATAGATCATTCGGCGAAAATTCGAATAGAGAGTTGCCGGTATACAGGGTGTTTCATAATATATGCGCAGGACTTCAGGATGTGATAGCTCGTCCAAACATATAAAAAAAGTTTTCATTAAGCTACCATCTAAAATGCACAACGACCGTTCAAATAGGCGACTCAAAACTGTACTTTTGTCATTGGCGTAGAAGTTGGTAAGGAAAACACTAACTACCCCTACAAAATCTTCTGTGCGATAATCGGTTCCAGAGATATTCGCGAAAGATGTTTTTTCTTTCAAATATCAACACCCTGTATCTCGAAAATTGTGCATTTTGAGTGTAAGGTAATGAAAACTTTTTTTCATATTTTTGGAAGAGCTATCACATCCTGAAGTTCTGTATAACACCCTGTATTGGACACATAAAAAATAGATAAAACTGTCTGAAAAAGAACGTCATCACCACGACGTGTCCTATTAACAAGAGTAGTTTCAACATACAAGAATCGATTTTTTCATCATAACTATTGTTCAAATATCTTACAGAAAACAACTACATCCCTAGTTAATACCATATAGCATATATGATAATTGAATTTATCTGTTAAGTATCGAAGAAATCAAATTCCCATCACTTAAAATCAATTGTTGAATGAATGAATGATTCAATATTGAAAGAAGTGTGGACAAGGTTTATACAAGGTGCTTCCGAAATTTTTGTTAATCACAGAGGGTATAACAGTCAAACAGTCTCTAATCGCACTTTGCTTTCGGCAAGGTTAGAAGTACTAGAAGTATAATGACTTATTGCCAGAAGTATTGATAGAACAATTTTAGAACAATTTTTTTTTTAGTTTAATAACAGTTGAAAAATGTGGTAACTTGAGAGCAATTTTTTTTTCTAAAAATTGGGTACACGTTAATTCTCACGATACATTGTGTAGAATTACCCAGGAAAATTGTTGTTTCTTGTCAGATATTTTAACAATAGTATTTTTTATGTAAAAAAAACTTGTCAGAATTTGATTTTGGTCTCGATGCTACTGATATCCACACGGCTATACCGGGTGATGATCCAAGGTGGCTCACCGCTATAACTTTTTCTTTATTGAATGTAGTAGAACAGTTTGGGGGTTGTGGATTGTAGTTCAATTCACATTTTTTGACATAACTACTTGTTTTGCAGTACTTCAGGTTTGACCGAAAATGACCCCAACTTTCGATTTTTAAATGCGACACTCTGTATTTTATTCCATAATCGGTTAGAGATTATCATGTGAAATTCAACGATACCAGGTTGGATAGGGTTATTTCAGATGATGACGGAGATATTTGCATTCCATAAGCTCAATGGTTGTGACAGAAAAAGCATATGGAAACTGCAAATGCAAATATCATCCTAATCGTTGCAAGTAACCCTATCAAACTCGGTATCGTTGAATTCGTTATGATAATCCCTAACCGATTATGGAATGAAATACAGGGTGTCCCATTCAAAAATAGAAAGTTGGGGTTATTTCCGGTCCAACCGGAAATACAGCAAAGCAAGTAGGCATATCAAAAAATTTCGTTTTACTACATTCAATAATAAAGTTATAGGAGTGAGTCACCTTGGTATATGTAGATATTGATATGGAAGATCCCATATCCTTGTAGCATCCTGTGTCTGATTGAATTATGCAGAAATCATTAATTTAGTTACCTAGTGAAATTCTTGGATGCTTGACGAACGATTCAAACTGAAGATCATCAAAATCAAATGGATGGTGGATGTGATGACTTATTTATCTTGTGCGACTAGGGTTTTTTTCAGACAAACATGCATGATTAACTTACGTTGACATCCGGTTTCGGAAAATCCATAGTACAAATTTTGACAGGCGTCGCAATGGAACCCTTCCACGCCTGCTTGACAGTCGCAGGTACCCGTGTGGGTGTCACAAACTTCCGATTTGGAACCCATTGGGTTGCAGGAGCACGGTACGCAGAGAGCGGTCACATTACCAAATCCGACCTGAAAAAAATCATGATAATTATTATCTACTCAATTTGTTTTGTTGGTTATATTTCGATTCACTTTCAAGAAACCAACATAAAACCAGTGAATTTGCAGGAGTATAATATTGGTATTCTGATATAATACCAGATATCATTTTTGAATTATCAGTTACAAATAAAAAGTTCTAATGTTTTTCTATCAGTTTCATACGACGGCGTATCAACACGATAGTGATGTATTCATTATTTATTAGAATCTCAAAATTTCAAGAATTTTTCCCAACATTTTCATATTTTTTATCTGATTCCAATATTATCAGTTGTTAGAATATATCCAATATCTATTGAATCAATATGGAGAAAAACATTTCTTTACGATCGTGCAAAAAGTGAATTTCTCTTTCCACCAGTACAAAAAATACTTTGATTCTCTATGGATTACGAGTTGAATCTGCAATTTTTTCTGGCGTACTCTCAAAAATCGTTCGAAATCGTTCGTTAGTTTTGAAAGCCCATATTTTGAAAAATACTATGGAAGAGTTGGGTAATTAGCTCTTCAAAAGGTCTTTCCAATGGTGAGGAAATATTCCGTTTGAAATTCACAAACTTTTTGTTGCCCCCAGTACATCTTTTCAGGTAGGTACTGAAAATGTATCTGTTGATTCGAGAAGCAAAACAAAAATCTCCTTAATTTTTTCTACTGTCAAAAATGGAAATGTTACAGGGATGATACTTTATTATGTGTTACCCGGTACACGGAGAGTGGCAGGAATATAGTACTTACCTCGCATTTGTCGCATGTCCTTCCTGTAAATTTGTCCTTACATTCACACTGACCCGTGATGTTGTCACACTGCTTGGAAATGGAACCGATAGGGTCGCATTCACATGCTTTGCAATTGGACAAAGACGGCTCGCCGTAGTGGTCTGGTTTACATTTTTCACATTTCCAACCTGTCAAAATTCAGTGCATTAGGTATCACCAATAAGTGAACAAAACTATTCTCTTCAATTCTCAAAGATTATTTAATTTGAAAAAACTCGAAAAACTATTCGATTCTTTCATAACATCTAACTTCATAATGAAAAAAAGGCTGAATAGTTTTACTGAGAATATATTGTGTACCTTCTGTATTTCCTTTGCAACTAAGACACTGTCCGGTCGTTCTATCGCATGGTCCGCCATTGCAATCACATGGCTGACAGGTATTTCCTATCTCCATTGGATTTCCAAAAAATCCATCGTCACATCTGGAAAAAGAACATTTTGTTAAAAAAAACAGTTTGAAACGATATTTGAATATGAAATGAAATTATCAAAGACTGGAACCTTTGGCACGATAATCCACTACACTGTTTTACCACTAGTTGGTTTGGTTGGTGATGAAACAGTGTAGTGAATATACATGAGAATATACAATATTATATTACCTACGTTTCAATAAATACTCAGTTTTAGATATTATGCATATGTATTGATTATCTAAATTGTTTTCAATGAGAAAACTACTATCACTATCACATGAATATATGCTGACATGTATGCTATTTTCAAAATAAAATGGAAAAGTGCAGTTTTGTTCCTTCGCCAGAATGTGAAATTTTGTTCCTTCACCAAAATCTCTGTTCGATTCATGGTGAAGGTACTGCGGACATACAGAATACAATAATCTATGAATGAAAATTGATGACAAGTCATGAAATCCAATAAAAAAAGTGGACTACATATAGAGAATCCATAATGATTAATAATTGAAGGAAATGGTGACATGCACTATTTAAATTGAAATCGATAGGTCTCCTGTGATGAAAAAAAAAAGATTTTCTGCTGCAAGTAGTCCAGTAGACAATTGATAATTGAAATTGAAAGTTCAGTTATGAATTTCAGAATGTAGATGAGAGTTATTTGAATGTTTCAATATGAAGAGTAGTGCGAACATTGTTTATACAGGGCGTTTCTGAGAGTGGAACAAATTATGAAGTGGGTAGCAGAAGAGAAAATATCGAGAATGAATAATAGTTATTTATGTATCAAGGGCGTGAAATTCTCGAATGGGGATCCAATGACTTGGTAGATGTCAATGCGAACAAAACACAAGCATGCCTTTTCTCTAGAAAAGCCGATCTCACTGTGCCCAACATAACTTTGTCAGGAGTAACCATACGTTTGAAGACATCCATTTCGATGCCTGGTATTACTATCAGCAACAACCTTTCTTGGGAAAGTCACGTGAGATCAATTGCTGAAAGTGCATCCCAAAAACTTGGTTTTCTGTTTTGGGCCAGGAGCTATTTTACTTCTAGTCAGCTGCTTATGATCTATAAGGCACAGATCCGACCTGTCCTGGAATACTGTTCCCATATTTGGAAAGCAGCACCCAAACATTTCCTGAAACTGTTGGATTCTGTCCAAAAAAGGGCAATTCGTCTCGTGGATGATGCCTCGATCACAAACTCACTCACTTCTCTGAGACATCGTAGAAAAGTTGGCTATCTGGCTCTATTTCATAGATATTTTCATGGACGAATCTCTTCTGAAATATCAACAATTGTTCTTCTCTTGGCAGTCCCCGCGAGATCAACCCGTCGAGTTGAGGCTTTGCATTCCTCCGTGGTCACTTTGGAGACCTGCAGAACATCTCTTTCCAAATACTCGTTCATCCAACGAACAGCGAGGCTCTGGAACATATTGCCAAGGGAGGTGGTCCCCGAGGCATATAACCTCCAGGAATTCAAGAAGAACACCAATTCCTAACTTATATCCCTTGGTTCTCACGATGTTCTCTGAACATTACAGGATATCCCTTTTCGTGGGCCCCAGAACATAAAAAAAAATCTTTTATATAAAAAAAACCTACTCACATTTCGCAATGGTCTCCCGTGTACCCCCCTGGGCACTGCGTACAAACATACCCCCCCTCCTCCTCCTCCCGCGAATAGTCCACCTGGCACGCCGGACTAAAGTTGTTGGTGGCCTCCTCCAGGGGGCACGCGCACCTCCTGCAATCCTCCGGGGTGCCCCTCAGGGGGTTGCCGTACCTGCCAGGGGCGCACCTTTCGCACCGCTCCCCCATGGTGCCGTGCTCGCAGGAGGGAAGGCACCTGCCGGTGGAGGGGTCGCAGGTGGGGGAGTGACCGTTGCAGTCGCACTTGGCGCAAAAGGACTGGGGGGCGGTGGCGTTGGAGGTGGTGGGGGAGATGCGGGCGAAGCCGTAGGCGCAGGACTCGCAGGACAGGCCGGTGTAACCTGGAAGAAGGGTCAGGATTCAGTATACATACATGTAAAATCGTTGTTATCTGATCGATTTCGAAAAACTTTTTATTCGTCGACCTCTGAAGAAAATCTTTTTACGTTATAATTTCCGCAGACACTATCTTTAAATTCGCAAACACTTTTCGTCCGCTGCAGAGTTGCCAGTTCTGCTGTTATCAAATGTATTTTCTATCAAGAAACATTCGATCAAATGCATTTCTATCAAAAACACTTTCGATCAAAAGACTTCTATCAAATGTTTTTCTATCATTTGTCTCTCGATCAAATTTCCGCCTCCCGTTTTCGGTGAAACCGGGAATTTTATTTATTTATTTATTTCAGTTATTGCATTACATTCTCTTCTTCATTGATACATTTCATACAAATAATATATAAAGTATAATCAATTTTCTAGTAGGAATGACATGAATGATCAGACAGTAATTCCTGGTATAAGATCATTCATGAAGTATTATCGACTGTTGTATAATAGACATTATAAATAGTGAACAAAACTTACATATCATTAAGATACAGTCATATTATAGTGAACAAGAAGGGGAAAAATAAAAACAGTGAAAAAAAAGAAAAAAAGAAATTCATAGTCTTTCAGCTTTGATCATTCCTTTGCATATAAATATATTTCTTAACTTTATTTTTGAATTGCATAATATTTGGGCTGTTTTTGATATCATCTGGTAATTTATTGAATTTCGAAATCGCCTCATGTGTAAACTTTTTTTGTCCAAGTTTAGAATTTGCAGCTTCAAGATGAAACAAGTTATATTGTCTAGTGTGATGATCATGAATTTCGGAATTCCTGATTGATATAAAATTTGATTTAAGCTTTTTGTTGATGATATTATAGGAAATTTTGAGAGTATTGATTAAAAAGTGCTCTTCCAAAGAAAATGTGTTTGTTTCCTTATACAGTTGATTCGTTGGAGTATTATATGGAAGACGATACAATACTTTCAATGCCTTTTTATATAGAACAGAAATTTTATTGAAACTATTTTTGGAACAAGATCCCCAAATATTTATGAGATAGTTAATTCGACTGAGTATATGTGAATAGAGAATAATATTTGATGTATATGTACTAAGTTTAGGACATCTTCTCAAAGCACCAATAATGGGAGATACTTTTCCTATGAGGATGTCTATATGCTTTCCCCATGTTAATTTCTCATCAATCCAAATACCAAGGTATTTGGTATGGGCAGTTTGTTTCAAACGTTCATTTTTTATTCTAATATTCAGATCAATATTTTGTTTATTTCTTTGACGAAAAATCATATATTGAGTCTTATTAGAATTTAGAGAAAGAAGATTGGAATAAAGCCATTTCTCAACTTTTTTCAAGTCCTCATTTATGATATGTTCTAGAACTACTGGGTTTTTATTCTCATATAGAAGCACTGTATCGTCTGCATATATGGTATAGTTTCCTATCAAATTCATTCTTTCAATATTTTGAATGTATAATAGATAAAGAATTGGACCCAACACTGATCCTTGAGGAACCCCTTTGTTTAAATATAGTATCTTAGACTCACAGTTATTAATTTTGGTTATAATAGTTCTATTTTCAAGATATGATTTCAAGAGATGGAAGAGTATGAACTATCGAAAAATTTCACAATTTTTGAATCCAACACCTCTGCCAAGTTTGAATATTATAGCTTTAGAACTATGGAAACCATGACATGTCTAATGAATATGTATACGGTATAGCCATGTGGCATATTCACCTGAAGGACAGGAACACTTCTCGACACTGCTATATCCGTCCTCCTCGTCGCCCAGATTCAAGCTCGCTTCCTCCAGCAGCGACTCGATCTGGTCCGTGTGAAAAGTGGATCTCAGCAAAATGTGTTCGACGTCAGCGAGTACGCTGAGGAACTCTGCCCTGGTCACCGGTCTGCCGTGGTAGACGCTCGGCTCGTGTCTGGCGATGTCTGCCACTTCTCGCGTCACGTGGTACCACTGCAGCTGGTTGAGCTTGATGTGGAAGTGCATTGTCGACGAGTCGTGGACGTCGTCTCCGTGGGCTATCTTCATGCCATTGCTACCTAAAGAGAACTGTCTTAGAGCGTTTTCCACTACACCTTTTTCAGTTGTATTTCAGGAAACATCAGGGTTTTCACGGAAAGACTTCCAAAGAATCACTGAATATATCTAACTTTTGGGGCTAAACCTACTTAGTCATCCAATGGGTATCAAGAAAGCCCTCAAATAAGGTGATCAAACAGTTATTGGACTCCAGTAGGGCCATAGCTCTGTCTGTCTGAAAATGAAAATCACACACCTCTCGCCCAGTGATGAAATTGATTTTTGTTTTCATGTTGACGAATATATTTGGTAACATGGATAGTTATGAACCAAAGTAGACCCATATGGATCGCAATGGAGGTCCTTGTGTAGCATCAACAGCAAATTTATATTTTCATGTATGATCCAACTATCAGATCAAGCAAAGAAGATGAGGAGGGAGCTTTTCATCGACGAGTCGTCGACGTCATCTCCGTGAGCTATCTTCATGCCATTACTACCTAGAAAAAACTGTCTTATAACGTTTTTTAAAAGTTGCAGTGGTTTGGAATTTTTCCGTAGCGGATTCTGCCTGGTTCATAGAGAATTTCAAGAGATCTGGAGGATTTTCATCAAGTGATATTCATATTTTGTTGAAGTTGATTCGGATAACGATGTTTCATGGGATCAGAACTATTATTGGACATTTCACGAACGTCTGATGATTGATACCTCGTAAAAGGCCATCAAACAGTTGCTGGACTTCAGTAGGGCAGTCCTATGTAGCGATATCTTCGTTTGAAAAATGAGAATCACACACATTTTCTCATCTAGTGAAATAGAATAAATAATAAGGATCGCGAGGAAGGGCCTTATAGCATCCGCAGCAAATTTCTCTCCTCACGGAGGATCCAACTAGCAGTTCAAGCAAAAATTATAAGGAGGAACCTTTTCATATCATCTCTTCAATTACATCCAGAGTACAAAGTTTCAGTAAAAGATTTGGTATCCAAGCTGTTGAATCTTTCTCAAGGCACAGACCTGTCATCAGACAAAGTGGTTAAATGAATGAGAATATACACATAATATGTCAGCCTAAGCCAGAACAAACTCCGTATACTAATCATGAAAGTACTAACTGATCATAACTGACTAAAAGAATATCTCTGGAAGCTCGGTTTAGAGAAAAAAGATGAATGCACGCTCAGTGGAGTTTACCTCAGTTTCCATAAGAAGTGGAATTCATACCACATGAAAACAAAAGGAGTCCTGGAAGCTGAGTCCAAGCAGTAAGTCCAGCGGCAATTGTTGAAGCTGTGGTGTTGAATCAAGATCTGATGGAAGGAACCTGTTTCAATGAAAAGAACCCTTTCAACAGGGAAGGCTGATTGGGAAGTGTAAATGTGAAATTCTACGAAAAAAACTGAGGAGACTTCTTGTCCATATAAAATCCGTAAGAGGCGCTGATATCGTCAAATTCTCAATGGCCATCGGACCAAATAAAAACAATCACTCATATTTACGACAAAAAGTTCAGAAATGGTGTAAGTAGGTTCATTTTTGATAGTGTTTAGTAAAATTCTGATAATTGAGTTTCTATTTCCATCACTTCAAAGAGAATTCGTACAGCGACCTCATATTATGATTTTCAACTGTTTATTGCCGTCAAGTTTGAGCAAAACATAAGCGCATCAACGCAAACTCCTACCTATAAACATCTCAGTCACATGTGCTCCCTCGTGAATCGCGATTCTGGCGAATTTCATTGGTCATAGGCTGCTTTCCGTTGGATGTTGCCAAGTCGCAGATTTATATTCTATTCCAAATACTTTTAAGGAAATGTATTGTTGCCAATTTCTCAATTTCTACTTGATATCAGGAAATAAAACCGATAAAAGGCAAGTTAGCTATTTCTGAGCATATTTTATATAAGTATATCGAACCATTGGATGCATGAAGGCTCAGTCCTCTTTGCCTCCTCTGAGGAATCGTACTGTCACCAACTCGAGAGTATTAATTCATGTGTATGGGGTATCCGATAGCCAAGCAGCCATCAAAGCGTTGAGCTCTCCCTACATCAACTCGAAGATGGTATGGGAATGCCTAAGCAAATTGAATGAGCTAGGCAGCAACAATAAAGTTATCCTCCTCTGGGTGTCAGGGCATATCGGAGTGGAGGGGAATGAACAAGCAGACGCTCTGGCACGACAAGGAGCTTCAACGCCACTGATCGGACCAGACCCATTCTGCGGCCTTTGAAATCCCTATTTCCAAGGAGAACTTGAGAAGGCGGAAGGAGCCTGGAGAGCCAGACAATGGAGAAGACTTCCAGGACTACGGCAGGCTAAAGATCTCCTTGGAAATTTCAACCGAGAAAGATCTAAGACACTGACAAACCTCAGCAAAGGAAGTCTCAAAGCAATAACGGGATTTATAACGGGGCATTGCAGACTCAAAGAACACCTAAGGAAGCTAGGCTTACAGGAGGACGGCACCTGCAGATTCTGTGAGGAAGAACCAGAAACACCCCATCACATACTGATGGAGTGTGACGCTGTACATCACAAAAGATTGAACCTACTGGGATCACACCAGCTGACTGTGGAAGAAATACCACAGCTAGACCCCCTGAAAATCCTCAAATTCCTGAAGGAATTGAATCTCGAGGGGCTGCTATGAACAAGAAATCCTTGATATAGCAGGAGCAGATGGGGCACAATAGATCTAATTGGGTCGCAGCGCATCTGTCACCATCCAACCTACCAATACCAAAACCAATAATGGGGTTCGATTAGGGTTAGTTATAGGTAGTTAGAATAATAATTGTATGATAGTCATTACAGTTTAATAACTGAAGTAGTATAATTCCTCCGAACCTGAAAACACCTTACTCAGAATTCTACAGAATAGAGGAGGAGAAGTCACCCTACCTGGGAAAGTTGGGACCAGTAAACACATTTTCCATTTGGTAGGGGAACGAATTACCATAAGAATAAGCAGTCCACGAGAATCAGGATTTTAATGCAAAATGATGTTATGTTGAGGTGTTTCTTGCACTTCCATTGAATCGATTACCCGAAATGATCCTATTCGAATGGAAATAAGAAACTTCCTCTGACCTATGATCACCATGTTGGGTCCTCTGGTGGGTTCCCCGCTGGTATCGCCCCGCATCACCACCCATTGCACCCTGAAGACGAAGTCGGCGTTGTAGGCGGTCAGTTTGTTGCCTGCGTAGTGCGGGGGTGCTAGCCAGTAAAGGGACTTGATGCCAGGGAATTCCGCGGTGCCTAGGGAGAACACCCCTTGGCCGTTCCAGTTCGGTTTGATGGACTTGGTGACTTGCAGGTCGGTTATCAGCCAGTCTTGCAAGGATTCGATCTGGAAAAATGATAATTGGAAGGCATTATGAGGAAACGATAGCCAGTGATAAATGAGAAGTGAGGTTTGCAATGTGAATCTATTAGCTTTTTGACTATTATTCTGACTGCACCTGGTAATTCAAGGTGAAGGAAAACTTCTGTGAATATTTAAAAATTCGAATAACTCCTAATTTGATTACTACATAGATGCAAATTGCGAAGTCCGAATTTCCAGTCTTCTGCTTGAAAATGTTCCAAGTCTGATTTTTTTGGAAAAACACAAATAAAATGTACATGGTATTTCTGTTTTCATATGTCTTACTTTTATAAGATATACCCATAGTTGGTTGTCAACAAAATGAGAAAAAAATGTTCTTTATATAAAGGTTCACATGATGTTGACGTTTCGAAAAAAATACTTTTCTCAGGGGTATTCAGAGAAAAGATTTTCTTTCAAGGAAAACTGTTCAAAATATAAAAAATTGCATTTCTAATCACAGAACTTGAAAAACAGAACAGATGTCTTCCATCGCATTGAGGATTTTCGAGGTATTGAAAATTATCCAGCATCCTTCATAGCGAAAACGAAGTATTTCCTGACTTACTGATACACTCTGTATATCATCATACCATATCATACCTACTAGATTCAAATTTCATAGGCTCTAGTTTGAACATTTCATCGCAAAATTCAGAAATCCATATGCCTCTAAAAGTATTGCCAATTCAATTTTAAACTATTATATTATCCGACCAGATATTTTATGGAATTTAAATATGCCGACTTATTGTTTTTATCACATTGTTTTATTATAATGTTGAGAAAACTCGAAAAAAAATCAAAAGTTGTCTGAATTCGCTCAATTCCGGAAGTTATAGTAGGTTACAACTTCTTATTTAACAGTTTTCGAAACTTTATAGATACAAATCATCAATGTCATTCAGAATTTGATCTAAGGCAAACATTACATTTCTCCAGAATTGTTAGAATTTTCTCTCCTCGTTTCCATAAATAAAAATATCTCTAGATGATGTGACACTGTACCGAGGTATAATGAACTAAGTACACTTTTCTAAGTGTTTGTGAGTACCAATATTTTTCGAGGCAGGTTTTGTGTCCAAGTCTGGAACAACTATTAAGCTCTCTAATCTTATTCTGCCAAGTATTTAGCGGCGTTCTCTATTCATTCTGTCAAACGCAGGGCTGAATAATTCAAAGAATATATAAAATATTCGCGGCTCGCAACTTCTGAATACAGACTGTTTCGTTTTGTGAATGTTTTAATAATGAGCTCAGTTCTCGATGCATTGAAACTTTCCTGGAGAGCTGTTGTTTTTTCTTGGTGGTGCTGTGGTTTCGCATATCATTAGCGACGGGATCACTGAGATGAAATATTTCACCGAATAATTCCCTCATATATGTCTCATAAGAGCAATGCATCCATCGAAAAATTACAGCGGTAATTGCACTGCAGAGCGACATTGCATTGCGAAAATATCCCGCCGCCATAACAACACATTCGAAACCGTGTCGCTAGACACCAGTAAACAACTCAAATAAATGTCAGATAGACAATTGCTCCATAGAATTTAAATATCTTATAGCACATTTCATTTATAGTCATTGAATTTCTTTTTTCGTATAATATCCCAATGAATTTCATTCGGCATAAAAATGACCAGATAATTTTTTATTCAAATGTGTTATCATACAAATTGCATTACTTCAGAATCGGGTTCTTTCGCCAAAATATAAAAATAAACTTGCAATTTTTAGATAACACGTTTCCCTGCAAAATTATCGGTAATTTTTTTCCACCTGTGCAATAATAACCGAGAATTTCACATCTCTACTCTGAAACTAATGAGATGGCCTTAATTTGACTCGATTCTCAACGAGCTGTCTTCGAAAATGTGGACAAATATGAAATATTGAAATTTTCTAGACCTACTATTGTTTTATGAATGAGTAAAAATTTCAAAAACGATGATAAGGCAAGTTTAACCCGAAATAGAGAATAGCCTATAGGATTCAAGCATAGCTGAAATACCACATAACATAATATTAACGCAATACATCGATATAGGGTGTTAGTTCTTCAATGGCAAATTCTAATATTTTTCTTTTTTATTCGCCTTGTATCGAATTATAAGGCGATGCTATAACCGGTGAAGTAGTCATTCAATAAAAGAACAAATATCGTATATATAGGGCTTCCCACATTCCCAAAAAAAAGGTGCCTAATAGTCGCTTTCGAAATTTTTTCCCCTTCAACAAACAAAAGTAGATAGACCTTGAAAATCTGGATATTTCAGATATGTCCACATTTTCTAAGAGAGCTCGTTGACTATATCATTGAACTTTTGTTTTTGAAAATCGGTCGACAAATTTCAAATCAAGAGAGTGTCGCGAGTATTTGTTCACACTAAGACCATCTTCATCATGACTGGGAGATCGATCTATAATTTTATTCGATATCCTATTGGAATCACTATAGAGACCTTCTGTCGACGTACCATTTTTCCCTATTATCCTTTTGATTATGAATCGATGATAAAAGCGCGTTTTGCTCTGAATAAAATTCCCAAATTAAGGAATGCCTTTTCCTTCATTTCGAATCCATTCTGCCCCATTAAATCCACAAAGACATGCATTAGATGCCTTTGTTGTTCAAAAGATCGCTATTCACGGAAATAAATCTGCAGACTATGATCGAATTCATTGAGAAATGATGGTTTTGAGAAGTCAAAAATAATATTCCAAACTATCACATTCTATGGAGATCATTTAATATATTTTTCGATATCTCGGTAGATGCAATTTTTTATCGTTTTAAATCTCACACATTGAAGAAGTATACACATATTCAATCTCTAGTCTATACTTTGTTGAATTCTAGAATAAACTATAAAACAAATTAAAGCATCGAGAAAAACTGATCATGCATATTAATTGGCATGGCTATCTTCAGGAAAGCATTTTCAGTTACTTTATGACCCATGTTCAGCTTTTTTCCTCGTTTTCGGTGATGGAATCCACTGACAAAGTATTGCACGCTGATTATGAGACACCCTGTATAGACACTATGCCGAGTTGATTTTCATATTCTTCTAGATGTTCTTTCATCGATATATGTTTTTATGGGTTCATTTGCTTTCTCCAATATAAACAAGATTTTTTGCCGTGCTATCATAAACAGCCTAATGATCTATCGAATTTAAAAACAATGGCTTACCTTTTTTGGCTTGACAATGGCCGATTCGCATAAAGTTGTCACTCCTGAGCAATAACACGGTAAGCAACCTTCTGCTATGTCGCTTCGAAGACCGAAATGGCCAGATTTACATCTGTCGCAATATTTTCCTTCAACGTTCACCTGAAGAACACAACAATTTCATTTGAAAAATTTCACAAACTATAAGCTTCCTAGAAAATTCTTGAAAATACGAAACGTTTCGCTGAAGTATTAGCTTTCTCAAGCGAAATACTTGTCCGATACTTAGGCACAACATTGATTTGCTTATTTCTAATACAGGGTAATTTACGTAGGCCATACACATTAGAGGTTTTCATACTGGTAGTTGGATTAAAAACTCGACCAGTATGAGCCTTGAGCCATCTGCATTGCCTAAACCGCTAATTTTGAAAATCTAAAGGGAAAGTTATCTACAAACTCTGACATCGAATTTTTTCTTTATGGGCCTGAATTGGTGTCTGAGATTTTTAGGATAATCAAAATAGTAATTTACGTAACAAGTCCGGAAAATACTGGAAGTCTGCGAGTCCAAAAAACAAAAAAACTGTTTTTGGACGTGTAGCATACACTATTTTTTCGGTAACCATGTAGGATAACAAATCTCATTTGTATCAAATACTGAAATTTGAACAGAATACCTATACCTACTAACTGCAACATTGGAAATATCGTATGAACATTTTCAAACTCACTATCGCAGCTGCTTTAGATAGTTTATTGCGATAATTGCAACCAAACTTTCAAAATTCGAAATGTCAACTAATTTCATGTCAAATAGCTGTCAGCCGATATTTCGCTGCTATGGTAATTATCATCTGCATTTATCAAAACCATATCTACTAAAATTTTCATAGTTATAGTGTCAAAAACGATGTGATACTTCCCGGCTACTTTCTCAAAGAAGAAGCGAAAAAAATATTTTTCGACCTGGAGCCTTTTGCATTTGCGAGCACTGCTAATTTTGAAAATCTAAAGTGAAGGTTCTTTGTGAAATCTGACATCGAATCCTTCTTTTATGCCCGAATCAGTGTCTTTGGATTTTTTGGGATTTTCAGGACAATCAAAAAAATAATTTTCGACTTGGGAAGGATGTCTACTAAATATGACATCGAATTCTTTGTACCCACTTTCCAAACGCCTTTTCTCTGAGAGAGTAGTTTTTTTCCGGCTTAGTCCGGGAAGTTTCACATCGTTGTTGTCATTCTAACTATGAGAATCTTAGTAGATTTGGTTTTGACAAATGCAGATAATCATTACCATATATAGCAGAGAGATTACGGCTGACAGCTATTTGACATGAAATTAGTTGACATTTAGATTTTTGAAAGTTTGCATGGTTCTTGGTTGCAATCGATGTCGATCTGACTGGAAACCTAGTAGGCGATCTAATAGAATAGGATAGAATAGAATAGAATATTTATTCATCCTTTGTGTTCATATACATGATATAGGACATGTCAGTCAAGAAGTATAAAAAAATCTGAGAGTAAATCGTAATATAAACCTACATAGGTATTAAAAATAAACAATCATAACATCCATAGAAGAATCACAAACAAATTACATTTAGGACACAGTGGCGCAGCGAGGGGGGGGTTTTAGGGGTTAAAACCCCCCCCCAGACCCAGACGCAAACTAGAAAAGGTTGATCAATAATTATTCAATCTAGGTAAAAACCCAGAACCACTAATCGGTAGACCAACAGAAATAATGTTCCTGGATCATCGCCGGAAGAATATTATCGAAGGGCTATTTATGTTTCATTTCTCGACCAAACAATACAGGCAATAAATGAAAAATTTATAAATCATAGAAATACTCTCGAACCTTTTCAAAGACTTTTATGTCATGATAATAGTTTAGACATCAGCGAAATTTTCAATTCTACACAACAGCTTCTGGAATTTTATGGACTGGACGATTCTGGTGCGTTGGGAGAAGTTACACTTTGGGTTCAGTTTATCAAAGATAAAACAGAAAAGCCACGAAGTGCGATTGAGGCTATGGAAGTATGCAATAAAAATTTGTTTCCCACAATTTATAGACTTCTAATCATAATGGCAACCTTACCAGTCACCACGTGCTCTTGTGAAAGATCGTTTTCGTCCCTGAAATTTCTAAAAAATTATTTGCGGAATTCAACTGGAGACGACAGATTAAACGGCCTAGCCTTGATGTATATTCATCCAGATATTCCTATTACGGAAGACGAAGTTCTTGATGTCTTGGCTCTCAAATCTCGCCGTCTTCAAATTTCAATATAATTGATAAGTACATTCAGATTGCATTCATAATGTTACTATGTTTTCTGATGATCTATGTTGTTATTGTCATTTATATATTTTTAAAGTATTATATCTGTACGCTGTTTGACTATGCCTATTCACTATCTGAGTTTTTTTTAATTATATTGTTTCAAATGTACCTCATATGTACGTTACGTTTTGTGTTCTATAATATATTCTCGTTTTTTTGTAATACTCTCCCTGATTTTTTCAAAACCCCCCCTAATACAAAATTCTGGCTGCGCCACTGTTAGGACATAAGTTAAGAATTGAATATCGAAAATTAAAAATTGAAACATTCAAATACAGAAAGTTAAGAAATAAATATTGAGAATTAAAAATTAAAAACTGTACTCCCAGTTCACTCAAAACTAAGGTGAGAGGTGGAGTAAAAACTATGCAGTACCAAAAATTCTCTGACTTTTTTCTTGAAGAGTTCGTATGATTGTATATCTTCCAGCTCAGATGGTAAATTATTAAATAATTTTGTTCCAGCTAAAGAAGAAGTTTTTTCATATAGGCTAGTCGAATGTTTCAGGATAATTATCTTTGATTGTCACAATTCCTGGTTAAAAACTTTATATTTCGTAATCAAGGATTTCGTTTAATATAGCATACACAGCTATGAATATTTATACACGGAACAGTCAATAATGGATGTTTCTTGAAGTATGGCTTACATGAGTTCTTTGCAAGTTGAATATAAGTCTAGTCTAGAGGAGTTATAGCTCTCGCCTACCAGGGGCGGATCCAGGCAATACTTGAGTATAGCAAAAATAAGTTGAGGAATTTTCATTGATACCTCCTGAAAAAATTAGTTTTCCTCCGATTGGCAGCAAATATTGATTTTGCTGACACATATCGATCAGCAAAGTATTACTTTTCCTGCCTAGGCAGCAAAGTGGTTACTTTGCTGATTGATATGTATCAGCAAAATTAAAAATCCATAAAATCGTTTATAATTTCCTTCATATTCCATCCGAGACTTCTCCGGCAACAAATTTAACTCTATATTTTTTGCCACCTCCCTTATCAATGGAGGTGTAAGTATACTTCCAGGTCGCTATCACTGTCCATTATATAATAATTCAAATATACCGATATTGTTTCGCACAACTGTCAGAAATTTCATGAATTGTCAAACTGAAGCGGAATACGCTGTCGTTCGCCCTGTATGTTCAATTTCAGGCCGTATCGTATATTTAGGTAGCGGTTTTTTGGTCTTCTAGGCCCAGTTTTTGTTCTAATTGCTAAAGGCCGGTTGGATATCGCTTTAATTCTCGAACTATTTCAGTTTCGCTTTTATCAGTGCTGAAGTTGCATATAGCAGCCCTGTTGGTTACCGAATTGGTCTAATTTGTTACTACATTTTGTGATTGATTAGTGTACCTGGTGTTATTAATTTCAGGTAAGATCTTTGATATTGAATGTTTCCTCTTTCTGAGGCGGTTAGGTTATTTTTTGAGGTCCTTCAAACTACTATTTTTCACACTTAGTGACGCGGCTTATTAATTTCAGTACTGGTTTATGCCCAAGCTCTGTAAGTAACCCAACATAGGGGAAATAAAGCTCGATCCAACCCCCAAGCTCGTGATTTCTGCACCCCAAACAAAACATCCCTGAGTCGTTCTGTCTCATCTTGGCACCCAACTTGCTGGCAATTGTGAGCTATGGAGGGAAGTACACCTGGATCAGCCTACAATCTGAGGAGGAGGATTCTAAGAAACTCGTCCATTCCCCCGTCGAGGGTGGCAGATCTGAGGAACACAACCAACGTAAGCCCGCCAAGGCCGAATATGACTCAAGGTAGGAGCGTTCCTCTTTATTTCTCTGCACCTATACCAGAAAGTATGCCACCCCAACAACCTCAGGGGGAACAAGTTCCAAATAATCCCACATTTGAATGGGAGAGGCATCATCCACCACCAAACGCTTTTCAAGGAAGTCAACCCTTCAACATGAACGTACCAACGGCACAAGCACCCCCGAATCAACATTTTTTGATTACGCCGGAAGCAATTACTCAACTCGTTAGTCAAACAATACAACAATTGCAAAATCAAAACTTGAATAATAATAGTTGTTCCAATAATGTTGATCAACATCAGTTTTCTGAAAATACGAATAGGGATAGCAATAATTATCTATGTAATAGCCTTTCGGCAACCAACAAAAAAATTCCTATTTTTGACCCTAACGTTATCCACCCGGTAGATTTTCTGAATCAACTACAAGATGGCTTCAATGTTGAAATGGTTGATTATAAGCACTTCAAGTACTTGGTGGCGGATTCTTTCAAAAATTCTGCCAAATTATGGGCCGACGCTTTTCTACCCAAGTTTTCAAATTATGCACAATTTAAATCGAATTTTTTGCAACATTTTTGGGATGATAACTCTCAATGGCATGCTAGAACTAAATTGGAAACACGAATATATAGAGAGGGAGAATCATTTGTAGATTTTTTCAACAGTTTCTTAGTATTGGCTAAACACTTAGACCCACCTTATCCGGACAGAATGCTTCTAGCATGTATTTCGAGAACTTTACCACCTCATGTTTCACTTTTACTTTTACAGTGTGATAATTTTTCTCAAGCTCTCGAACATTTGAGGAGAGCTGATATATATTATCATAATTTAAATGGTAACCCCATCAATGCAAATCGTCCTGTCAACAGAGGAAATTTCTCTGGCCATAGAGATAATAAAAACTCTAATTCTTCTGACAATAGAAATAATTATCCTTCTAAAATTGAGAGATTTCCTAAAAATATTTCCCTAGTGACAGTGGATGAAGCTGAGGAATCGGGAAACGATTCAACCAGTTACCAGGACGGCCTGAGGTAACTGCGTTGCGTAAGGCCGAAATTATCGAGAATAATCCTCGAGAAAGCTTATTAGTTGATGATTGTGACTTCAAACATTCTTTATCTAACGATCAATCACCGGTTATCGAAATTAAAATATACAACTTTAGTTTTCCTGCACTGATTGATACCGGAAGCCAAGTATGTTGTTTTTCTGATATAGTCTGGTCGCAACTGAGTGGTTTTCACGAGGACATTCCGCATTTTCCTTGTAGTGGCGTAAGAATTTCTGGTGCTTTCAAATCTAAGCATCAGAGAGTTAATTTACAAGTTGAGTTAACTTTTTCAATGTTAGAAAAAAAATATATTTTCGAATTTTTAATGGTACCTAAGTTAATATATCCCATTATACTTGGCGTCGATTTTTTGCGAGCATGTAGTGCGAAAATTGAACTGCTTGACGATAAATGTTTTTTCACTGTCGGTGATAAAAAAATCTCTTTACCTGAAGTACCTGTTTTTCATGAATCAGAGCCACCAGATTCTTTGAATATTCGAACGGTTTGTGATAAAAAAGTAACTCTTAATCATCTATCGGAAAATTATGTTGTTTCGGATGGAAAGTCCCAATTTATATCTACAGGGTGTTTATCAGATACAGAGCATAGTTCGTTATCAGGACTTATTCAAAAGTATCATAAAATATTTTCCGGGAAGCCGGGTTTAACCAGCTTATATGAGCATGTCATTAAAGTAAATGATGAAAGCGGTTTTTTTGTCAAGCCGTACCCGGTACCGTTTGCTCACCGCGAGGCGGTACAAAAAACGGTCGATCAAATGGAAGAATGGGGGGTAATTTCCCGGGGCGCAACTCCTTTTATATCACCGCTTATGACAACATTAAAAAAAGATGGTTCTGTGAGAGTTTGCTTAGACGCTCGGAAACTGAACTCCATAACGGAAAAAGACCATGAACTTCCTCGTCGAATTGACGAAATAATGCGCAGTATGACTGGATTCAAATTCAAGAGTATCTTGGATTTAAATAATTCATATTGGCAAATTCCGCTCAGGCCTGACTGCCGAAAATATACGGGTTTCATTTTCGGTAATCGAAGCTACTATTTTAACGTCATCCCTTTCGGGTTGGTTAACGCCGTCTCCTCGTTTACTAGGTGTATCGACCAGATTTTCGGTATTGAGTTCTCTAATTTTTTAGTGCCATATCTCGACGACTTGTTGATTTTAAGCGATACTTTTGAAGAACACTTGCGGCATTTAGAGTTGGTTTTCTCGCGGTTGAGTCAGGCGGGCCTAACCATAAAATTGAAAAAATGTAATTTTTGCTGTAGGCAGGTGAATTTTCTAGGTTATGTCTTGGACGAAGAGGGTTTTCGACCAGATCCGAACCGAGTTCAAGCGATAATTGATTACAAAGTACCACAAAACGTAAAACAACTTCAAAAATTTCTCGGACTTTGTCAGTATGACCGTACCTTCTGTCCAAAATTTTCATCATATACCGAGCCTTTAACGTTTCTTCTTCGGAAAAAGAATCCGTGGGTGTGGGGACAAGCACAGCATAATGCATTCCATCGCGTAAAATCGGAATTAAAAGATGCTACCCTATTATATTACCCAGACCCTAATTTGGTTTTTCATGTTGAAACTGACGCCAGTGACGTCGGTATTGCGGCGCAACTTTTCCAAATAGTAGAAAATAAACGAAAAGTTGTAGCTTGGTGTAGTCGATTATTATTAGAACGCGAGAAGCGATACTGTAGTTTTGAAAAAGAGGTCTTAGCCTTAGTGTTCGCCTTGAATACTTGGCGAGTTTTCCTTTTGGGACGTAATTTTTTTGTCCATACCGATAATAAAGCGACAACATATTTGAACACTTGTCGATTGCTCTCCCCACGTGTTACTCGTTGGGCCTTAGCTCTCCAAGAATTTGACTTTCAAATAAAATATATTAGGGGCATAGACAATGTCATCGCTGATTGTCTATCTCGGTATGCCTGTGTCAGGTTACCTACCCCCAACGATAAGTCTTTTCGGGTTTTGAACTTGAGCCTACCGGAAAATTTTCGTCATATTCTGAAAGATATCACTCGATATCAACTGGAAGACGTCAAATTGAAAGATATCCGCGATTCTCTGATAACGGAATCCTCCCTTCGGGCAAAATTTTACATTCATAATGATGTTCTTTACCATCGGAAAAGTGATGCCGAAAATTATTTACTATGTGTCCCGCTAGCTCTCCGGGACAAATTCATCGAAGCGTTTCACGAATCCCTAGGGCATTTCGGCGCATACAAATGTTGGTCGGCATTGAGGCGCGAGGTCTGGTGGACAAACCTGTCGCGGGACGTCAAACGGTTTGTAAGAACATGTGAAATTTGCCAAAAGTCGAAAATCTCTATTTTACCTAAGCCAGCGCAGCATCCTATTTTGGCAGAGTTCAAGGGGGATATTATTGCTTTGGATCTATTCGGACCCCTTCCGCGTAGTCGTGCAGGTGCTTGTTACATTTTAGTTGTTGTTGATATTTTTACCAAACATGTGGTCCTTTATCCGCTCAGAACTGCGACTACTCGTTCATGCTTAAATCGGTTAACTGTGGATTATTTTCCAAATTGCGGGCTTCCCAAAAAAATCTTGTCCGACCGCGGAACGCAATTTTCTTCCCCCAAGTGGAAAACCGCGTTGAATGTGCTAAATATTCAAGTCATATATACCTCCGTACGCCATCCAGAGGCCAACCCCTCTGAGAGAGTTATGAGAGAGCTAGGTCGATTATTTCGTGTTTATTGTCAAAGTAAACATACGCGTTGGGCTTTCGAAGTTGTAAAGTTTGGAAACTTTTTGAACAATGTTGTACATGAGGCTACCGGTTTTACCCCCAACGAACTTCAATTTGGTCGACCCCGCGAAAATCTTCTCCCACCTCGGCTTCGACCACCAAACCCTGATTTCATCAGTTCCAGTGACAAAATGATCATCGCTAAAGAGACATTAGAGGGTAAAGCGGCTCGCCGAAGAATTAATAATCCGGGTAAACCCTATAGAGCATTTGATTCAGGAGACTTAGTTTTATTGAGGGCTAATCCGAAGTCTACGGCCATCAACTCGGAAACGAAAAAGTTTCTCTTATTATTCGAGGGCCCGTATGAAATTAAAAAAATTATCAGCTACGCGACGTACGTTTTAGTAGACCCCACCAGTGGCGTCGAACGAGGGATTTTCCATGCCAGCCACTTGAAAGTGTTTCATCGTGCGAAGGAAGCCGCCACCTCGCAAGTATGCGTTTTGCCAGCTTCGGGGGGTAGTTGAAGCGGAATACGCTGTCGTTCGCCCTGTATGTTCAATTTCAGGCCGTATCGTATATTTAGGTAGCGGTTTTTTGGTCTTCTAGGCCCAGTTTTTGTTCTAATTGCTAAAGGCCGGTTGGATATCGCTTTAATTCTCGAACTATTTCAGTTTCGCTTTTATCAGTGCTGAAGTTGCATATAGCAGCCCTGTTGGTTACCGAATTGGTCTAATTTGTTACTACATTTTGTGATTGATTAGTGTACCTGGTGTTATTAATTTCAGGTAAGATCTTTGATATTGAATGTTTCCTCTTTCTGAGGCGGTTAGGTTATTTTTTGAGGTCCTTCAAACTACTATTTTTCACACTTAGTGACGCGGCTTATTAATTTCAGTACTGGTTTATGCCCAAGCTCTGTAAGTAACCCAACATAGGGGAAATAAAGCTCGATCCAACCCCCAAGCTCGTGATTTCTGCACCCCAAACAAAACATCCCTGAGTCGTTCTGTCTCAAAACCAACAACTGCGATTTCTATCAAATTTTATTTTAATTGAACACTATATAGGAATAAAGAGATTGTGGGAATTGTATTAATTCGCAAATACAATATTCTCCCATATCATTATGAACAATCGGAGAAAAAATTATATGTTCAACTCGGCAGCAAAGTAGATTGACTGCCTTAGCTGGCAGTCAATCTACTATTTTGCTGCCTAGTTAAACAAATAACTATTTCCTAGATAATGTTCGAGTAAGTTTGGGAAATTCGTGCGAGTTCAGGGAAGTCCGGGGAATTTCGAGGAAGTTCTGGAAGATTTTTTTATTTATCAAAAGGGAAAAATATTAGTGAACCTGGTGAGGTTCGAGAAGAACTAACCTTGCAAACGCACTCCCCCTCGCAATCCCCATTCCCCGCCACCCCCTTCTCGTCACAGGGACACGGCTCGCAGGCGGGGAACCCCGCCCGACCAGGGGCGCACCGGTCGCATGCCGCCCCCGCGTACCCCTCCCTGCATAGACACGCCCCCGTCCCGTCGCAGGGCCCGAGGGCGCCGCGCCCTTGGCACTGGCAGGGGCGGCAGGGGCGCGGGGCGGACGGCGGGGTGCCAGCGGGGCGGTAGTAGCCGGGCAGGCATTGGTCGCAGTTGATGCCGGTCGTGAAGTCCTGGAAATTGAGGAGTTTATTTATTATTTATTATTTATTTATCGAACATATCTTCCAGTCAGAACAAGTTCTGGTATGAGGAAGAACACAATTGAAGACCTTGGTGCAATAACCGGTCAAGTCCAAATTCTACAATGAGCGGGAAATCGAAAAAAACCTTCCAAAATTGTGAAGAATAACGATAACAGAATACGATTTTTTTTTCAGATAGAATTTGTCGAAATACATGCTTGAATGCGATGGATTATCAAAATGGAAACTACTATCATGGTGTAGAAATTTTTGAGAATTCGGACTTGTCCGTTTTTTGCCCCAAAATATCATATTGAGAATGGGGCACAGTGGTTTATGTCATTTTTATTATATCAACAAGAAACTATGCAACTACATAAGAGAAGAGTAAGAATCGTATAATGCATCTCCATCTATTAGTAATAAATATCTATGAACTACTACACAAACATGAGTAGAAGTGAACATGAATAATAAATCATAATAAATCAGGATATCACAATAAATCACAATAAAACAAAACAATGAATGAACAAAGAAAAGCATTCTAGTAAAGGACATAACTTACTGATAAATATTAAACATTCCTCTCAGAAATTACAATTTTTTTATTTTTAAATGTACTTATATTTCTGCAGTTTTTAATTTCATCTGGTAGTTTATTGAAGTCAGATATGGCTGCATGAGTGAATCTTTTTTGCCCGAGTATAGAACTAGCAGCATCAAGGTGAAATACATTATATTGTCTAGTTTGATGACTATGAATTCCAAAATTTCTTGTCAAAATAATATTAGACTTCAATTTTTTATTTATGATATTATATGAAATTTTCAGAGTCTAATCTGTACAGTTCTTCTAAAGAATATGTTGTTGTTAAGACATACAGTTCAGTTGTTGGTGTATCATATGGAAGACGATACGGAAATTATTTTCAGAACAAGATCTCCAAACGTTTATTAAATAGTTGATTCTACTTAGTATATGTGAATAGAGTACTATATTTGCAATTTTCATATTGAGTTTGGGACATCTTCTCAATGCACCAATAATAGAGATATTTGTCCCACTTAAATTTTTCATTAAACCAAATATCTGAATACTTTATCTGTTCAGTTAGTTTCAAAATTGCATTCTTTATTTGAAGATTGAGCTGAATCTTCTGTTTATTTTTTTGTTGAATAATCATGTATTCAGTTTTTCTGTATATCAAATCATATTTATACTAGTAATTGGAAGCTGATAGCATGATGAAGTAATTGATATGAAACAGTTTTGACGAAGTTCGATTTTTTCAATTACATTTATTTCGTAGAAATGAAAGAATATTTAAACCTAAAATTTGCAATAGAATGTTTAAATTTTGTTACACATTTGTAATATCGGAATAGAAACAATTTTTATTCGTGAATGTTTTTGAAATGCAAACAAATAACCCTGTTTTCAGCGATCAATTTGAAAAAAATGAGACTTGACATGTAGCAAATGTCACGTGATCCCGACCGGGTAGACAATATTACAACTTTTTTAAAGCAAAACTCAATGCCCAAAACGTATCCCAAAATAAATTATCATGACAAGTTTTTCCATTCGATGACAACATTCTGGAAGACTTTCACTTTCACTTTCACTTAATCCATATATGTTTATATGGATTCACAAGCTCAAATGTTCGCATATCATTAATGAACACCCTGTATACCACCGAATTTGAAATTATTGCACTCTGCCACTCACCGTGCAGTTGTCGCAAACGCCGCCCCCCTGATAGTTCCCCGCCACGTCCATGCTGAGTCCGGCCCTGTCCACGTCGACGTCATAGTGACAGCTGGAGGCGTGGCCGTGACAGTTGCAGGGCAGGCACTGTCTGGCGTCTCTGGCCGAGCCGGGCCCCCATTGGCGCTGGTTGAACATCGGGCAGCATCGGTCGCAGTTCGGGCCGCACGTGTGATGGCTGCACTCGCATTCCGGGTGCTGAAACGAACATTTCAACTTTGGTGGTTGGGGAGGAAAGTAGGTCGTGTGACGGCTCGTTCGAAAGGCCTTTTATTTTTCTATCTAGATCTTATAACACTTCCGAATTTCATGTAGATTACCATCTACATTTATTTTTTATTCAGATGCTATAACTATAGTTTTTTACATTTCCACTCAGTGGTATAAATAAAGCTGTGAGGTTAGTCATTCGTCTACTATTTCATTGATTATACGCCGAGATTAAGAGAAGGGCCTAAATCTTTCGAACCATTCCCATCACGTGATATGTTAAAATTCGTGGTTGTTGATGATTATTTTTTGCAATAAATTTGTGAAGGCTGAGTTTTATCAAGGGGTTTTATTCTGGTCAACTAATAGCGTGGCGTCAGCCCACTGTGATCATTTGTATAGTGATTTAGGCTTACAAGAATGTTTTTCCTTCCTCTCGAGAACCCGAGGGTCGTTTTTCTACGAGCAAATGCGCAAACGTCCATATTGTATCACGTGATTCACTGTGACCAATCTGACAATGAGGTTTGGGAATGGTTCGAAAACTTTAGGCTATCGTAGATTAAGATACCTTTCCGGAATTATTCGAAGGTTCGATCCAAATATTTCGTTAAAAATTCATGGCACTTTACAATTTTATGATATAAAATATAGTTGAAATAGGACACGCTGTAGACGTGACGAAAGCTTTCAAGTCCGCATAATATTCGTATGTTTGCATCGTACCATTATTCCTTTTTTGGCATGCACGACCAATCACCAACCCTTCCGAGAATCAACCTCTATAAACATAATAAATCATTCAGCCCGATGGAAAAATTCAATTTCCATACGAGGACATATAGGCAGATTCCCATGTATATCGAGTACCAACAAGCCAACGATTAAGGTCGGGTACGCGCAAGTACCCCCTAGATTGATGTCTTTCCCACACGATAACTATCGAATAATACCAAATAAAGATCGTCTGGAAAGGCACTGGCGCTGCGCGTAGTGGCTTATAAGGCATGTCTACCGACTTTTTTGAGCTTGTGCCGATACGCTGAAATTTCGCTAGAGAGCGACATCGAATTAACGAGGAAGGAAAAATGTTGTCATTCGGACACGTTGCGGTAGCCTGTACTATACAGGGTGTATTGGAAAAGACTGCTGTTCATTACCTGAACAATAAACTCGAGATATTTCACCCAACAATTGATTCCCTTGTCAACCCAGGTGGATACCCTATCTCTGTACGATACAGAGTGAATTATAGTAAACTAGCTTGCAGTAAGTATACCTTATTTTTATAATATATTTTTTCAGTTCAATATTCATCAAGAAGCTATTATTATTTTATTTTCTACTTCTTTTCAGTTTCGCTATCTATAAAAGCGTGTTCATTTAGTTTTTCAAACAACCATTTATTTCAACTTCTTTTTAGTTTACTTGAATTTCCCAATTCTGACGAAAGAATCATAATATCCGACTCCTAAAACCCCAGATGAAAATTTTGAATGAAATCGGAACATAATTACAAAACCCGTCCGCAATATTGGATTAACCTTCTTGAATTCCCTATAATTTTGACGAAAGAATCATAATTTTTGATCCCGAAAATAGTAATCCCGCCCTTTCCAGATTTTGACAAAAGAATCATAATCTCCGACCCCGAAAACACCCAAATAACAATTTTGAAGAGAGTCGGATCATAATTACAATACTCGTCCGCTATATTGGGTCCACCATCTTGAATTCCCTAATTGTGACGAAAGAATCATTATCTCCGACCCCGAGAACCACCTTTTGGATCCGCCATCTTGAATTTCTTAATTTTGACGAAGGAATCAAAATACCCGATCACGAAAATCCCTAGGTACCAATTTTGAAAAGAATCGGATTACAATTACAAAAGTCGTCCGCCATATTGGTTCCGCCATCTTGCATTTCTAAATTCCGTTCGAATTTTCGAATTCTGATGAACGAATCATAATCTCCGAATCCGAAAACCCCCAGATACCAATTTTGAATAGAATCGGACCATATTACAAAAATCGTCCGATATATTAGATCCGCCATCTTGAATTTCCTAATGGTACCGGGATAAAAAGTATCCTATAACCCCCTCCTGGTTCTGAGCTACCTCCCCACCAATTTTCAGCCAAATCGAACCAGTAGTTTTGGATTCAATACATACAAACAAACAAAGCAAATCTTTCCTCTTTATAATATTACTATAGATGACTTGATATTGTCTATAAATAATCTATCTGCTCAAGGAATAATCCCTATTAGGTTGAAGTCTGCAAATCTTGCATGAATCAGGTGCTATTTCTGATTCTAGTGATTTCCTTATTTCAATGTTGTCAACACCATTCAACAAAAATTACGAGCCCTGTCTCAGTGAAGTTGGCCCAACGCCCCAAATTGAACGAATGCGTTCAAACAATATTGAAAGTATTTTCCAACAAGATGGTGCCGCTTTTCATACAGCTAAAAAAAATTGAAGATTGGTTGTTAGAAAACAATATTCCAGGTCTAACTTGGACGATGGTGGTGGTCCATATCTATCGCCGATTAATAATAATAATAATAATAATCATTTATTTCCTTAAGACAGTTACAAACCATATGGAAAAAGTCAGTTGCTCACATTCAACATGTGTATACACTCGTAAATTTACAATACAACAATTAAAAATAAATTTATTTCACCGCCAATTGCCATGACAAATATTCATCCAGCTTATAAAAACTCTGTTCTGTCAAAAAGGATTTCAAATAATGTTTGAATGATTGCTTTGTTAAACAGTTTTTCACATTTGAAGGAAGAGCATTGTATATTCTAGGAGCCATATGACTAGGAGATTGGTGAGTTATTTTGAATTTTCCAAATGGAATTGAAAAATCATTCTTTTGTCTTGTATTGAAACCATGATTTTGTTTGTTTCTCACATATATTCCATCGTTATTGTCGAATACTAGCATACTCAACTCTGATATGACTAGACATGGTAATGTTAATATTTTCAGTTTCTTGAATATATCTTTGCATGAATCGATCTGTGAAAGCCCCGTCATTGATCGTAAAATTCGCTTTTGTGCCACGAATATATCTTTTGCTAGGGTAGATAAACCCCAAAATATCACACCGTATCGTAGCCTACTCTCAACTTGTGCATAGTAGAGCTGTATCAATTGATCAACATTGAGTACATGCCGCAAATTTCTAAATTGAAAGGCAATCGAGTTCAACTTTGAGATTAGGTAGTGGGAGTGAGCTTTCCAATTGAGATTTTTATCTATTCGCAATCCTAAGAAAATTGTTTGATCCGAACTAGTTGAGATCGATGGACCCGAATCGTTTGATTGGAATGACAACTCATTACATTCTTTTTGGATATGGTGAAACCTCAGTGCTTGCGTTCTCGAAGTATTAAGAAACAAATACCGATTGAAACCTTGTTGCATACCATGAAAAAAAGCTCCGAACGGATCCCGTAGGAACCAAGCAATTTGAAGAAGTTTTATATAGTTTGACAGTTGACACTTTGTACTAGATTCAAGTGCCATTCCTGATGTGAAGTAGTTCATAAAATGACGAAAACTATCTTGGTAGTAGGTAAAAACACACATTACGCCTTCCAAAGAAGTACATAATGGTGGGTTCTTTAGCTAGTGGTGAAAACATTTTTTTTCTAGCAAATATGGATATAACAAAACAACGTTTGCGGGGGTCAGCTAGACCTAAATGAAGAAAACTTGTCCACGCATCTAGCTGACTTCATTTACTCACCCCAGACGCTACATTATGTCTGCATTCTTCGGCGTGTCCGTTGCATACACACTGCCCGCCAATTGAGATGTCCCTGATGGAGTAGAATAGCTTCTTGTCCTTCCATACGTCATGCGACAACCATTTTGGCACCGGTTCTTGGTTGCCTCTGAGACCCATCAACCGGATTCTGACGTATCTCGCCTTGGTGAATTCCAATAACTCCGGGCTGGTTTCATTCGCTCCGGGTCGACCGTTTATTAGTGACGTGTGGATCTGAAAAAGTGAAAATTATTTATCCAACGATATAGGTACGAATACATTTTCACTTAGAATTCTTTATTATTATAAAATAAAGATTCAAGAGAAAGTATCTGCCAATATTTCATTCACATTGTATGTCCGTAGTTGTATTATAGCTGTAGGTCAAAATTATAGGGAAATAATAGGAAAAAGTTGGAAACACGACAGGTACTCGTACGAGGGGAGTGTATATACTGAAACTATAGGCCTATCTACAGAGGTGGATGTTAGGGTGTTACCTCTGTCTGGTGGGTGTGTGAAGTGTCAATTTGTTGTCTAATTCTCCAGATTTCCGCATGAATAGCCAGTGGTGCACATAATACATATTTCCAAAAGCAGTTACTGGATGTACATACAATGATTAAATTATTCAATTGAAACGAACTTCCATCGTATCAAGCCATCCATCAAAACCACAGAACAATGTTAACTCGAACAAAAAACGAGCAGCGGAATCATAACATAACGGCGAGGCTTTTTGATCACCGAAAAGATTCAATTATCCTGCAATAAAAGCTTTAGCTTGAGTTTCTAAGTAATTGTGACGAATCCTCGTCAGACAATTTATCTCATGCCAGCTCCCATATACAGGGTTGTACAAAAAGAAGTAAGTACGACGAAAATCCCGTTTTGGATAAACATACGAAGTAAGTCAGCACAAACTGGAGATTGACCCAAATTTACCTTTCACCGATATATCATATGATATGAGCTCGTATATAAATAATACTGTATATCGTTGATGTCATTTCATCTCAGTATGACAAATAGGACAAGTATGCGGAAGAATCGAAATGAAGAAAAAGTGCATCAAAGAGAACCAACTGGTTGAGATGATTTATACATTGAATTAAAGAGAGTTTTACATCAGGTGTTAGCTGCGATGCAATATACAAGGTGGCCATCGAAAACGTTCCACCCAAGTTTTCTCCGTTGTGTTGCAATTAATTCGTTGCTCGATATTATCAATATTATCGATAGTACTGATATTCCTGTCCTGTTCAAAAAATGTTACATCGACTCCCAACACCTTAGTAATCATCCTCAAATAGGGTAGGTACCATTACTTTGCTGCAATCTGCACTAGCAAGCTAGTTTTATATATGTATATAGAGGCATCAACTATTCATCTGCTTCAAGATGTACTGTCGCACTTGAAAGTGATGCGTATTGGAACCTGAGAAGATGACGGATTGAGAGTTATTGGTTATTTCACTATCTATCTACTTATTATATACTATCTACCTATATTGCGTATTTTTTTATCGTTCATTGGTGTTATTTTGTCTCCTTTTCAAGGAAAATAGTAAATTATTCAAATCTGAGGATGGGGCATTACTTTTGATTGAAAATGTATCCCAATAAATCGATTTTCCTTTAATAGTACAGTGCGTAGGCAAGCAATACAAAACGATCTGTGACGAATCAATATGTTAATTTGGACGCAAATATCGATATCATTCAATCTCTTATTGATACCAGCATACGAAACGATCTTGTAGACTCGTTTTAATTTTATTGAAATTACAGATGCTATTTTATCTAGATAAATGATTATGATCTTGGTACGTACCTACAGAGTGGTTGCAAGAGATGGGTGTTCAGCCCATTGAAAAGACGTAATTGTATTCGATATTTGTTTTTATACCTTTTTCCTACATAGAAACACGGCAAGTGCCCTTAAGAGGGGAGCATCGAAGCAATCAAGAAGACTTATTTTCATCAGAATGTCCTAAACGGATATGTTAGAAACAAAGTTGCTCCAACAATTTCCAGAAAAACTGCCGTGATCTCACCTCTGCATTTTCCAGTGGGGTCAGCCTCGAATAGAAAGAGGTGCAGATGACTTCGAAGTCGGTGAAATAGTGAGGTTTGCCTTTGGTTGCTGATACGCCGAATGTTTCGAGACATTCCTTGTCGCTCCTCGCGAAGTACTGCCAAGGGTGGTATTTTTCTCCGTCCAGAGATCGTTCGAGTGCCCAGGTTCCTGGTCTCGGCGAATTCGCCATTTTAATCGTGATGAAGGCTATCTGGTACACCTAGAAATATAAATGAGCGTTGAGAGAGATGACACTAAATGAATATGAATATAAAAAAATAACGAAAATGCATCATTATATTTCAAGTCAATTGTACGATGAATTGATGTTCATCATACAGGGCGCGGAAAAAATTCTGAATTGAGAAAACTCAATCACGAATCTGTGACCAACAATTCAATATCTATACTTATAACTTTCTAACAATTTGTTTCCTATAGCTGACATGGAGGAATTTCAAGTATATGATAATGGATCTTAGTTATTCTGAATAATACTCAAATTTGTTGAAAAAGTTAAAAACTTAATTTATGAATCTATGGACCTATATGACAACTAGGTAGTGATTTTAATGCCTATATTAACCTTTAACGAACCCAATTAGTCTTCTGCGTGAATTTATGGTTGCCATTAATATGTAGTGACAGCAGGAAACTATATAAAATACTTTATTAGATGCATTATAATATATAAATAAATGAAGGAATAACAGAAAATGATAGTCGAATATGAAATTGGTTGCCCAACTAAAAATAACTCCAAATTGGAATTTATGGTTTATCATATGAGGATTGTGAAACGAAGTATTCATGAATATATGATGAGATAATTGAATGCCGATTTATTGTGCCCGATATGCTTTGATTAGGATACTAATATTTGGTCGTAAAATTTCTTGATTAAATCTCACGAATATAAATAATAATCAAACTGCGTCAAATAAATCTTACATGGGTTACTAATTTGAGAGGTGTGAGTAAATAGTGTGCACAGAGAGATTTATTACATCACCGGAATTATACTATTAATATTGATTATATTCATATGTTTCTGATAACCATATGACCAATAAAAACGTTCAAATTCAGTCATTTATGTAGGTCTCAACCAATCGAAATAACATGATACGAAATAATCTACTCATTATACATTATTGCCACTATAATAATAAGATTTCTGATACATGGAAATTATGACAATATGCGTTAAAACTGCACTCACATGCGATGGTTTTTTTTTCGAAAATTTTTCTTGGTACCTACACGAATTTGATGATGAAAATGTGCCTTCTTTTCACCCTTGTGTTGGATGCATTTACAGCAACTTGCTCTTCTAATTTTGTTTTATATAGAAAATTCATCACGAAATATGATTTTTATGGCGAGTTTTCCATATTTAGTGAACAATCATACCAGATGACGGCCATTCAATCAATAGTCGATGCAAATACGAGATGTCAAATGTGAACAGATTGCTCTTGAATGACATTACACACGCCATTATTTTAAATGCTATTCTTCCTTCTTTTCACTAAATATGGATAAATCACAAGAAAGTCGTATTTGTAATTGACTCATATAATAGAAAAAAATGTGTTATTGAAGTACATTGTGATGAATAAATTGTCCAATGATGAAAAAATTGGCAAATTGTTCAAAATGTGATCCAAAAGACCGGAGGAAAAGAAGGCGAAATTTGTAACTTTATAGTGAAATATCTTAATAAATAATGGTTTTTTCACATTTTCATTATCAAATTCGTGTTTCCCAGACAAAAATACATAAGTACCAAAAAAAATTTCGAAAATCAAATCAGCGACGAAATTAACCAAATGGACTCGTTTAATATTTTCATTAGTGGAAAATGGATGATTCAAGTTCAGATTTCCCAAGTGATATCGAGGAAGCCTCTGGTTGAAGTGACCGTTTCAAAACTTCCGTCTGTTTTAAAAAGGGTCAGAATTAGAAAAAAATAATTGATAGAATACTACAGGAGAGTTCGACCAAATAGAACATATACTATAATTGATTATTATTGTTCTTATTATTATCATTATGTTGATTGTTCATAATTATTCAATATTCACTACTCACAATCAACAATTATTAAGAAACATACACAAAAACATCAAATATTGTGTAATTATTACATAAACAAGAAACTAACAAACATTCAATAGTAGAGAAACAAGACAAATTCAAAAACACTAACATACATTCAATCGTAAAGAATGAAGTGAAATTAACAGATGCAACATGAGTTTATTAGAATAAAAAGTAATTTTTTTATGTACCTAATGTTTGTGTTTTTTTATATACCTAAGATATAAACCAATTATCATTAAACTGTTATCCTTGAAGTTCAATGAAATAATTTGATATTAAATTATTAATTATAGCAATATTAGCTACTTTATTTTATGCCCGAAAGTAGAAAATTGATAAACTATTACATGACTTCTTTATTTGTACCACTGATTTTTATATCATGACATTGTTTTATGGTATATGAATGTTTTTTAAATATACTATAAAGGTAATAAAAATCCTGAATAAGGCAAATAGAAATTTATATTATTCCTCCTAACAGTCCCATACGAAGTAACGACCGAGGCACCTTCGGACTGCCGAAAGTAACGGAAAACGGCGGAAGTCCACGCGAATTATCACTTTTCTGATAGAAAATGAGCTGCTGAATCGAATGAGACCAATGGCGAGTCGATAGGACGAATACTTTTCGATATATCGGCACCAAAAGCCAGCTATATGCGTTTATTGCCAATAGGAGCACTTCCGAAGGCCACTGAACCTCTATCTTCCAGAATTTCCCGATTTCCACCATGGCTTCTTTCATAAAGACCTCGAATTAGTCTACATGAATTTTTTCAGATTTATAATAGGCCGAATAAAATTTTAATTTTTCCTCCAAACAGTCCCATACGAAGTAACGACCGAGGCACCTTCGGACGCCCGAAAGTGCCGGAAAACGGCGGAAATCCACGCGAATTATCACTTCTCTGAAGGAAAATGAGCTGCTGAATCGAATGAGACCAATAGCGAGTCGATAGGACGAATACTTTTCGAGATATCGGCACCAAAAGCCAGCTATATGCGTTTATTGCCAATAGGAGCACTTCCGAAGGCCACTGAACCTCTATCTTCCAGAATTTCCCGATTTCCACCATGAATTCTTCCATTACGACCTCGAATTAGTCTACATGAATTTTTTCAGATTTTTAATAGGCCGAATAAAATTTTTTATTTTTCCTCGTAACAGTCCCATACGAAGTAACGACCGAGGTACCTTCGGACGGCCGAAAGTGCCGGAAAACGGCGGAAATCCACGCGAATTATCTTTTTTCTGAAGGAAAATGAGCTGCTGAATCGAATGAGACCAATAGCGAGTCGATAGGACGAATACTTTTCGAGATATCGGCACCAAAAGCCAGCTATAAGCGTTTATTGCCAATAGGAGCACTTCCGAAGGCCACTGAACCTCTATCTTCCAGAATTTCCCGATTTCCACCATGGATTCTTTCATTACGACCTCGAATTAGTCTACATGAATTTTTTCAGATTTTTAATAGGCCGAATAAAAATTTTTATTTTTCCTCGTAACAGTCCCATACGAAGTAACGACCGAGGTACCTTCGGACGGCCGAAAGTCTCGGAAAACGGCGGAAATCCACGCGAATTATCTTTTTTCTGAAGGAAAATGAGCTGCTGAATCGAATGAGACCAATAGCGAGTCGATAGGACGAATACTTTTCGAGATATCGGCACCAAAAGCCAGCTATATGCGTTTATTGCCAATAGGAGTACTTCCGAAGGCCACTGAACCTCTATCTTCCAGAATTTTCCGATTTTTACCATGGATTCTTTTATTACGACCTCGAATTAGTCTACATGAATTTCTTCAGATTTTTAATAGGCCGAATAAAAAATTTTATTTTTCCTCCTAACAGTCCCATACGAAGTAAAGACCGAGGCAGCTTCGGACGACCGAAAGTGCCGGAAAACGGCGGAAATCCACGCGAATTATCACTTTTCTAATAGAAAACGAGCTGCCGAATCGAATGAGACCAATAGCGAGTCGATAGGACGAATACTTTTCGAGATATCAGCACCAAAAGCCAGCTATATGCGTTTATTGCCAATAGAAGCACTTCCGATGGCCACTGAACCTCTATCTTCCAGAATTTCCCAATTTCCACCATGGATTCTTTCATTACGACCTCGAATTAGTCTACATGATTTTTTTCAGATTTTTAATAGGTCGAATAAAAATTTTTATTTTTCCTCCTAACAGTCCCATACGAAGTAACGACCGAGGCACCTTCGGACGGCCGAAAGTGCCGGAAAACGGCGGAAATCCACGCGAATTATCACTTTTCTGATAGAAAATGAGCTGCTGAATCGAATGAGACCAATAGCGAGTCGATAGGACGAATACTTTTCGAGATATCAGCACCAGAAGCCAGCTATATGCGTTTATTGCCAATAGGAGCACTTCCGAAGGCCACTGAACCTCTATCTTCCAGAATTTTCCGATTTCCACCATGGATTCTTTCATTACGACCTCGAATTAGTCTACATGAATTTTTTCAGATTTTTAATAGGCCGAATAAAAATTTTTTCCTCCGATAGGCAGCAAATATTAATTTTGCTGACACATATCAATCAGCAAAGTATTACTTTTCCTGCCTAGGCAGCAAAGTGGGTACTTTGCTGCCTAGGCAGCAAAGTGGTTACTTTGCTGATTGATATGTATCAGCAAAATTGAAAATCCATAAATCGTTTATAATTTTCTTTATATTTCATCCGAGACTTCTCCGGCAACAAATTCAACTCTATATTTTTTGCCACCTTCCTTATTAAAGGATGTGTAAGTATACTTCCAGGTCGCTATCACTGTCCATTATATAATAATTTGAATATACCGATATTGTTCCGCAGAACTGTCAGAAATTTCATGAATTGTCAAACCAACAACTGCGATTTCTATCAAATTTTATTTTAATTGAACACTATACAGGAAGAATAAAGAGATTTTGGGAATTGTATTAATTCGCCAACACAATATTTTCCTATATCATTATGAACAATCGGAGAAAAAATCATATGTTCAACTCGGCAGCACAGTAGATTGACTGCCTTTGCTGGATTCCTAGCCTCGCTACGCTCGGCTATGAATTCAGCCACGGCAGTCAATCTACTACTTTGCTGCCTAGTTAAACAAATAACTATTATTTTTCCTCCTAACAGTCCCATACGAAGTAACGACCGAGGCACCTTCGGACGGCCGAAAGTGCCGGAAAACGGCGGAAATCCACGCGAATTATCACTTTTCTGATAGAAAATGAGCTGCTGAATCGAATGGGATCAATAGCGAGTCGATAGGACGAATACTTTTCGAGATATCAGCACCAAAAGCCAGCTATATGCGTTTATTGCCAATAGGAGCACTTCCGAAGGCCACTGAACCCCTATCTTCCAGAATTTCCTGATTTCCACCATGGATTCTCTCATTACGACCTCGAATTAGTCTACATGAATTTTTTCAGATTTTTATAGGCCGAATAAAAATTTTAATTTTTCCTCCTAACAGTCCCATACGAAGTAACGACCGAGGCACCTTCGGACGGCCGAAAGTGCCGGAAAACGGCGGAAATCCACGCGAATTATCACTTTTCTCATAGAAAAAGAGCTGCTAAATCGAATGAGAACAATAGCGAGTCGATAGGACGAATACTTTTCGAGATATCAGCACCAAAAGCCAGCTATATGCGTTTATTGCCAATAGGAGCACTTCCGATGGCCACTGAACCTCTATCTTCCAGAATTATCCAATTTCCACCATGGATTCTTTCATTACGACCTCGAATTAGTCTACATGAATTTTTTCAGATTTTTAATAGGCCGAATAAAAATTTTTGTTTTTCCTCCTAACAGTCCCATACGAAGTAACGACCGAGGCACCTTCGGACGGCCGAAAGTGCCAAAAACCGGCGGAAATCCACGAGAATTATCACTTTTCTGATAGAAAAAGAGCTGCTGAATCGAATGAGACCAATAGCGAGTCGATAGGACGAATACTTTTCGAGATATCAGCACCAAAAGCCAGCTATATGCGTTTATTGCCAATATGAGCACTTCCGATGGCCACTGAACCTCTATCTTCCAGGATTTCCCGATTTCCACCATGGATTCTTTCATAACGACCTCGAATTAGTCTACATGAATTTTTTCAGATTTTCAATAGGCCGAATAAAAATTTTTTATTTTTCCTCCTAACAGTCCCACACGAAGTAACGACCGAGGCACCTTTGGACGGCCGAAAGTGCCGGAAAACGGCGGAAATCCACGCGAATTATCTTTTTTTTGATAGAAAAAGAGCTGCTGAATCGAATGAGACCAATAGCGAGTCGATAGGACGAATACTTTTCGAGATATCAGCACCAAAAGCCAGCTATATGCGTTTATTGCCAATAGGAGCACTTCCGATGGCCACTGAACCTCTATCTTCCAGAATTTCCCGATTTCCACCATGGATTCTCTCATTACGACCTCGAATTAGTCTACATAAATTTTTTCAGATTTTTAATAGGCACAATAAAAATTTTTATTTTTCCTCCTAACAGTCCCATACGAAGTAACGACCGAGGCACCTTCGGACGGCCGAAAGTGCCGGAAAACGGCGGAAATCCACGCGAATTATCACTTTTCTAATAGAAAAAAAGCTGCTGAATCGAATGAGAACATTAGCGAGTCGATAGGACGAATATTTTTTGAGATTTCGGCACCAAAAGCCAGCTATATGCGTTTATTGCCAATAGGAGCACTTCCGATGGCCACTGAACCTCTATCTTCCAGAATTTCCCAATTTCCACCATGGATTCTTTCATAACGACCTCGAATTAGTCTACATGAATTTTTTCAGATTTTTAATAGGCCGAATAAAAATTTTTATTTTTCCTCCTAACAGTCCCATACGAAGTAACGACCGAGGCACCTTCGGACGGCCGAAAGTGCCGGAAAACGGCGGAAATCCACGCGAATTATCACTTTTCTGATAGAAAAAAAGCTGCTGAATCGAATGAGAACATTAGCGAGTCGATAGGACGAATATTTTTTGAGATTTCGGCACCAAAAGCCAGCTATATGCGTTTATTGCCAATAGGAGCACTTCCGATGGCCACTGAACCTCTATCTTCCAGAATTTCCCAATTTCCACCATGGATTCTTTCATAACGACCTCGAATTAGTCTACATGAATTTTTTCAGATTTTTAATAGGCCGAATAAAAATTTTTATTTTTCCTCCTAACAGTCCCATACGAAGTAACGACCGAGGCACCTTCGGACGGCCGAAAGTGCCGGAAAACGGCGGAAATCCACAAGGATTATCACTTTTCTAATAGAAAAAGAGCTGCTGAATCGAATGAGACCAATAGCGAGTCGATAGGACGAATACTTTTCGAGATATCGGCACCAAAAGCCAGCTATATGCGTTTATTGCCAATAGGAGCACTTCCGAAGGCCACTGAACCTCTATCTTCCAGAATTTCCCAATTTCCACCATGGATTCTTTCATTACGACCTCGAATTAGTCTACATGAATTATTTCAGATTTTTAATAGGCCGAATAAAAATTTTTATTTTTCCTCCTAACAGTCCCTTACGAATTAACGACCGAGGCACCTTCGGACGGCCGAAAGTGCCGGAAAACGGCGGAAATCCACGCGAATTATTACTTTTCTGATAGAAAATGAGCTGTTAAATCGAATGAGACCAATAGCGAGTCGATAGGACGAATACTTTTCGAGATATCAGCACCAAAAGCCAGCTATATGCGTTTATTGCCAATATGAGCACTTCCGATGGCCACTGAACCTCTATCTTCCAGAATTTCCCGATTTCCACCATGGATTCTTTCATTACGACCTCGAATTAGTCTACATGAATTTTTTCAGATTTTTAATAGGCCGAATAAAAATTTTTTATTTTTCCTCCTAACAGTCCCATACGAAGTAACGACCGAGGCACCTTCGGACGGCCGAAAGTGCCGGAAAACGGCGGAAATCCACGCGAATTATCTATTTTCTAATAGAAAAAGAGCTGCTGAATCGAATGAGACCAATAGCGAGTCGATAAGACGAATACTTTTCGAGATATCAGCATCAAAAGCCAGCTATATG